GTGAGGTTGCTGTGAGCTAGGCTGACGCCACGGCACTCACTCTAGCCAGGGCAACACAGTGAGACTCTGTCTCAAAAAAAAAAAAAAGAGTGTTTCGTTTGGTAAATTATAAACCTTATAAGAAATGAGCACACTTAGAAAAATTATCAAATGTCATCAATTCATTTCAACAAGTATTAATCGAGCACCTACAATTACCTAGTGCTATTAGGGAAATACAAAGATGCGCAAAGCAGATTCCTTGCACACAAATAATTCAAAATCTCATTGGAGCAAACTACATACATACAAACAAAGTAATCAGAGAATAATTTAACTGAAAAATAAGTAAGTTGGATAGCTATTGAATAGCTATTGAACTGTGAACAAGACCCTGTTCTAAATGCTGTGGGGGTCTTTGGGATAGATAAGTTTCCATCCCTTCTAAACTGAGGCTCACAGATAAAGCAATACAAATGAAATTGTCTCATAAGGACAACAATAAATTAATAAGCAAAATTCAATAAGAGAACAGGGTTGGTAGGGGCTCATTCAGGTCTAGGGGCCCCAGGAATTTGCTTTGGAGGATATAAGATTTGAACAGAGCTCTGCGGGATTAAAGGCAAATCTGGGAAGAAATGCCTTCTAGACAAGAAGACACACAGATCGTGCAAGGGTAATGTGTGGGCATTTCTGGGGAAACAGTGAACCTTCCTGGAATGTTCTTCTGGGATCAAGGAAAACCTTGAAAGCCATGTTTATCCATATAAAATTGAGAGCCCTTGAGGAGGATGTGTGTGTGTGTGTGTGTGTGTGTGTGTGTGTGTGTATGAAAAGGTCAGATATGTATCTTGAAGAAATAATTCTAGAAGAAGATGATAGAATGAATTGGAGGGAGGGGCAAGACTGAAGTTAGGATGACCTGTTAGGAGTTTGCTGTAATAGTCTAAGTGAAGATGAATTACAGTCTGAACTGGGAGAGTGGAAATAGAAAGAGGGATTTGAGAGGTGGAACTGAGAAAGAATCTAAAGAATCTGCCAACAGTGGGAGAGAGAGGAGTCTAACATGATTCTCACTAGGCGCAGAAGAAGATTCTCAGTGGTTCTGCAAGAATGGAGAGGCCTAAGTGGGCCAGAACAGCCAAAGAAGGCTGCAAAGAGGGCACGAGATTTGGGCTGGTCTTTCAATTGGGTAAAAAATCACACATGTGTTCGGAGAACAGACAGAAAATTCCAAATTAGGTGAACAACTCATAAAGATGTCTAGGGGGATACACCTGTGTGCCATTTTGGGCTATAAATAAGGGTATTCACCTGACATGTTGGAGCTAACAGTGAATAATCAACAACGAAGTGCTTATTTAAATGAAAACAATAGTTCAAGCAATTATTATGTAAATAGAAACATAATTCATGAATTTCAGGCATAGTGGTTGGAGCCCAAGCATAGTTATATTTTCTAGAGAAGTCCTTCTCACCACCACTTCGGAGATAACCAATATGACACAGCAGGGTTCATTTTGATGCTTGCAAACATGAAATATAATAGGATTCTGACAGAGCAGGAGTTCTTAACATGGTGTCAATGTGCTCCCAAGAGATCTGTGGATAGAATCCAGGGCATGGGTGGACTTGGATGAGAGATAAATTACATGTTTATTCTCACTACCACCTAGTTGAAATGCAGCTTTTCCTTCAATCATGAAGGTATCCAACAAACTACAGTAGTATTAACTGGACCAATGGCTTTGTGTTTGGTAGAAATCATAGATATTTTCATATCATATTACAGTGTTATAGCTATCTCAAAATGTAGTTTATGTTAATTATTACTTAGAATTTAGAACAGGCCTGTTGCCAGATCACGTTATTTCAAATGTCATTAGGGAAGCACACATACAGCTATAGCATAAACTTGTTCTTTTTAACATGTTAATAACTTCACTGAATTTAAAAACATTATTTGGGGGGGAGAGGGCTTGGCAGATGTCAAAAAGGTCCATGGAACAAAAAAGATTAAGAACCTCTGTCCCAGAGGCACTAATGTGCTGCTTAATGATTGAAAATTGGCTTTCAGGGATGAAGAGGGAAAAAAAAAAAAAACAGATTTGTAGTGTGTGCCAATTTCCATGGTGTAAATACTCCCACTGTGGCCAATTTCAAGCTACAAGAGCCAACCCCAGCAGAACACTAAAGGTTTCTCCTCCATCAACGATTTAGGTCAACAAATGTCATGGAAGTGAATGATAGAACTCACTGATTTCCCACTTATGCAGGGATGTGGCAATAAAAGAGAGGTCTGAGAGTTAAAGAAGAATCTCATTTAGAGTTGGGTAATATTTTAAACTGTGATATGGAGGAGCATTTTATTAAGTGTGCCTTACTGTGATCCCCTGGGAGCAATGAGCCATGTCTTTATCTTCAACTAATTCATGTATGACATCCATGACCCACGTAGTCCACTCCTGGCACCTAATTTTGTCATGGAGGATGTTTCATGAAACATAGACCAAAACAGTTTATAAACCCCTTTACTGTGTTTTAATGGAGTGAGCTGACAAGAGACAGCACTCAAAAATAATGCTGAATTGGTATTAATATTTCTCTGTAGCCCCTATCAGGGGAGCTTGCTTGACTGTGCTATCTGTGAGGAAATCTTAATACAGAAACAAAGAGTTCAGCTTGTCCAAAGTGCCCTACTTATGACTTTATGTGGAATGCAATTTCTGCCTGTTCTCTTTGCAATCACAGTGTTGATACTGAAGAGGCCATCTGAAATGCTCCACCCTAAGGTAAATCTTTCTTGCAGACACTGGAGTCAGGGTTCCAGGTTAAAAATAATTGTAAGTGTACCTTTAGCTTCTGTGTTATTATATGAAATGTTTAAAACAGGGTCACAGAGAGCAAAGACTGATTCTATCTTTATTTCCAGGTCATTTCTATGATATTTTGCCCATCTCCTAAACCTAAAATAGATCTCAAAGATGACTACTTTCAATTATAAATAGAGCCAAATCAGATAATAAATAGTTTCCATAGGGAATCTTTGCCAAGAATGTTAAATCTAACAGTTGCAGTTAAGGAAAATTTAACTGAAAACAATTTAATTGCAATTTTTTTTTGCCTAAACAGTCATAAAAGGGCAAAATGCTTTAAAACTTAAAGTCAGTGCTACATGTTCAGTGTGTGATGAATTGCTGTACAACTTTTCTGTTCAACCATCTTTCCTATTTCCTTTTCTTCTCTTTATAAGAACTGCTATCCCATTTATTCTGTTCCACCCACTCTGGTACTTCTATCATAGATCTTGAAATCATCGATTTTATATGTATAGTTGAAGCCTTCTTACCTGATGCAATTGAGATTGTAAATTGAAAAAGACAGTCAAACTGCCTCAAACATTTTATTTTAAATTAAAGCATAAATGTGCATTCATTTGTAAATTTTTAAAAATACAGTTAAGGTGGGTCTGCTGATTGGACTGAACCATTGTCTTTCTTTTTAAAGCATACCCATAATGCACCACCTCAATTCTTCTAGATTATTACAGCTCCCCCTAATCATTTACTGTCATCTCTCCCATACTAATTCAAAGGCATTTTCCTTAGCAATTCACTTTTACAAAGCATTTGACTTAGTTGTTCTGGAAATACCAACTCTCTTTTCACACCTATTTCATTAATTTACATATCGTTTAATTAAATTACATTATTGGTGCAACTGGCATAAAGAGATTGAGAACAAACACAGCTGCTTTTAAGTCCACTACACCTCAGCCGGTGGGAGCAGCAATGGGCAGGTAGACCAGGGAGGAAATGATCATCCTGAGTGTTCAGGCACCTCCCTCAAAGTATTTGTCACTACTGGCCCATCCAGTTAGTCGGGTAAGTGGAGGTCAAATAAAAGGCCTTCTGGGGTACACCTGTGTTTTCCTCTCTTTATTGTAAGACCCAGAGATCCTGTCAAACTTCTTAATACCATCCAGAACCAGAGCAAAACGATGAACACAAACTAAGCATGAAAACTTATTAATATTTAAATAAATTTGAAACATTTTACTGCCTTCCTAAGTCGGTTCATTTCAATAACCACAGATAAATGTTTTTAGATTTCAGATTTCTAAATACAATTTCTAAGCACCAACAGTATACTTGATATTGGTCCTTCTAGGGGACTGGCAGTTCAAGCTGATAAACTGGACCAAGCTTCAAGGATACAGGACATAAACTCTTTTATCCTTTTGATCTCTGCATTAACGTGTACGGTAATTTTCACCACAGCTGCAGGGAAGAGATTCAGTATTAGTATCTGCAGCATCCATTGGTTTCTGACCATGTAGTTTTTATTTTTCTTTTGATTTCTCTTTTTATCATATGCTGCACAAATTTCCAGTTGAGGGCCAGTCAAAAGACTTTTTGCCTCAGTAAAAAATTGTCAAAGGTCTCTCTTTTTCTGCTGCACAATTTTTAAAGCTACTATTTGACAGTCAACTTAGAAGGCTCTTCATTGTTGAAAAAATGCAAATGTATAAAAAATTAACAAGATTCCTGAAGAGCATAAAATGAATACTTTCAGATGAATGGAAAGTGAATACTTTCTTTGAATAAGAAAGTACTAACTCTACTTGTCTTATTTTAGCTATGTTAACTCTTTTTTTTCTTCAAGGTGTCATTAGAGGACAATTACATGGCTTCGCCATACTTACCTTGAACTTTAAAATGTCTGACTAACTTTGACAACTAGTTAGATGTCCAGCATTTCCTAATATTCAAAACTCCAACTGTTTGTAGTCAAACCAAATTTACCAATGTCCATCTTTTAAGCACTTCTTGTATCAATTAACATTTTTTAATTTCAGGATATTATGGGGGTACAAACATTTTGGTATCACAAGAATGGAAAAACATGCACCACATGTACTCACCATCAAATTGGTACTAACTGATCAACACTAAGGTGCTCACGTGGTAGTAATATTCATTGGGTGCTGCTCAGGTGGGGGGTGGGGGGGTAAACTCAATTAACATTTTTAATAGTCCTCCTAAATTTCCACTTTATGCAGTCTCCCCAGATTATTTCTTCAACCCAAATTGCAGCTTATGTATTCGAGCCTCATACACTAAGTATATATAACATCCACTTCAACTGAATGGAGGTGCTTGACATCTCGAAAAAGACAATTCCTTGCTTATCACTTCCTGCCGTGGGTGGTTGGCTGGTGCCATCTTAATTTTATAAGCAAGATAAAATTGAGGCAGTAAAGTCAAAGCATTTTCTGGATTCTCTCTATAGATTTTCTAAGTTAGTATATATTAAATAGCTATTTCTGTTTTGTCATTTCTTTTCCTCTGGTGATTTGTTCTTGCCCTTTTCTTTTGCTCATTAACACCTCTATTAGCGGGTGGAGAGGAGCAAGGGAAGGAGATAAAACTCCAGTGAGGTCATTTCCCCAGACACTCACTGGTTAAAACAGAGTCCCAAGAGGCCAGTTTTGTGAGCTGGATTCTCTCTGTGGTCCAGTTTATTCTGGACGGATGCAACTTTGCTCCAAGGCTATAGACCACAATGCTATCTCCTGCCACATGTGTTGCATTGTGGCCCACGGACCAGGCCAGTGAGTAGAGATGACTCAGGAAAATCCTGTCTCACCTCTAGAAAAACAAGTGGATGCGTGAGTCATTCTTACCCTGAGAATTGCAGAGCTTTTCACCCGTTAACTTCTTGGACTAAAAATCTGTCAGGACACAAGGCTGTAACTGCTGCTTCAAACAGGTTTTGAAGATTACTTGTTATGTTTTCTTCCCTTCATCCTCTACAATGTCATTCAAAGTAAAATCAACTGTGAGCTTTTGTAGAGTTCACAGGCTAAGAAAGGTTTTTACTTTCTTAAATGGTTGAAAAAAATTAAAAATAGTATTTCATGACACATGAACACTACATGAAATTCACATTTGAGTGAATTCAGTGGCCATAAATAAGGTTTTATTGGAACAGCCACCCCATTTGTTTATGTATTGTCTATGGCTGCTTTTGTGCTACACTGGCAGGGCCAAGCAATTGCAACTGAGACTATGTGGTCTGCAAAGATGGAAATATTGGCTGTCTGGCTCTTTCCAGAAAGTTCGCTCCCCTCTGCTTTTTCTCATTCTGCACAAACATTTCTGCTATCCTTACCACCTCAAAATTCATGTGCTTTCTTTATTACTTTGCATTTGTGCAGATTATTTTGTTGCTCTTGAAATCATAAATCAGGTGCATTACCACCATAAAAATGTTTTTTCTCTCTATTTTTATAAAGTGCTATGTGATTCTCAGGATTTTCAGAAGATCATAAACAAACAATACATCTCTTCCAGATGGTTAATATAGTTTAATATGTGTGCACATGGACTTGTGACACTACTATTAGATTTTTTTCATACTTTCTCAAGTGCTAAAATTAAATGAATTTTGCTTCTGACCCATAATTGAGATGCTATTCAGTGAAACAGGAACTAAAACCATTTATACTGTATTAGGAATAAATTCAAAATACATGAGTTTGTATTACCATTATTTTCCAGAAGAATAATTTCAGGCAATTGAACACCCTTTTTGGAGAATATAAGGAATGGTTTAAACAGTTCTGAGTGTGGCCTTCTAGCCCTGAACAGATGCTATCAGCAAGCCAGCTTTCTGGAGCTGGGAGTGTACTGCCCAAGGAGGTGGCCATGTTAGGGCCCCAGGAAGTTCAATGCTGGCACCACTGCAGGAGGAAGTGGGGAGACTCCAACCCCGGAGGGCTCAGAAATAGGGCTTCTTGGCCTGCACCCCCCATCCCACCATGCCCACCCCCATCCACACCACCCATGGTTGTTGGCGGCAAATAAGCGGGGGGATGGGAGTCTGGTTGTCTTACTTTGGGTTTTCCCAGAAGCACAGGTGGAGACATATTCTGATACAAGGAGTGTATTTGGGAGGCGATCCCAGGAAACAACACTCTAGAAGTCAGGAGTGTTAGACAGAAAAGGGAAGACAGACAATGAAGGGCGAGTCACTGAGCACACTCCCATGGTGGGTGGCTTGAGCATCATTCTACTGGGAAACTCTAGGAAAAGGCCTCTCGCTCAGGCCCCAGAGTTACCCCGCCTGAGGGGCCAGGAATGTTATTTCTCCAGCGCTTTCATCCTGCCCTGACTGGCTTCAAAGAAAGCCTTCAGGCAAAGCAGTGCAGATATTGGCAGTTAGAAGTTGGTCAGTGGGCACTAAGGAGGTCAGGCCCCAGGGTGTGTGTGGGGTACCAACAGCATCTGGCTGCAGCTGTTTTCCTGCCAGCCCCACAGAGTCCCTCTTCCTGGAACCCAGGCTGCTTTTAGGAGGATGGGAAGGGTAGGAGCAGATGCAGACAGGAGCCAGCCTGTTCTGCAAGGCCCTCTCTCCCACTCCTCTGTCCCTCGGCTCTCCTGCTGCTGGGTTGGCTAAGGGATGGAGACTCAAAAAGACAAGTTAGATGGTGCAGTCCCTGCGTTGTCACTGGACAACATGGGACACACGATTGAAGAGTCCTTGGTTCTGGTCCCAGGTCTACCAATGCAGAACTCCCCTGGCAAGGCAAACAGCTTTCTCTAGATGTCATATTCCTCATTCACAAAATGAGAGTTGGTTGGGTCTCAAACATTTTTCCTTGACTAGCCTCAACAAGCAACACATATACAGCCCCTCCGTATAGGAAAAAGCCAACTTTGAGATTTCTCAGAGGCAACTGGCACTGCAAACTCCCCTTCCACCTCCACCTCCCAGGAGACAGATTCCTATTCCCCTTAGAGCCCACTGTAGCTCCATCCCTTCGTCAGTATGGAGGCTGCCGACATCCTAGCAAGCTGTCAATACACATAATTGTGCCTGGACCTTTTGTCTGGACACAGGCCACAATGAAATGGCTGTGTATGGACTAGGGTTCATACTCTCCTGCCTCACTGAACATTCTGTAAGCTGAGAGGCACCCCGCCCTGGGCATACCTGTGCTGGGATATAGAGAGAGCTGCAGTGGGAGGGAAGGAGGCATAGTATTCAATTACATGAAGTGGTTTCATCCTACCTTTTCTCCCTTGAGTAGTTGAAATTAAACTGCAATTGAACCCAAAGTGACATACCCACAACTTACCAATATGAACATCTCCTGATATGGTATAAATGAAGCTTGTCCACCCTGGAAAGTTAAGCCAGCAACATTAAAATGTTAGTGTCCATGATGCCAAAAGGAACATATATATTTTTTCTTTTCTTTTACATATATATTTTAAGATTTAAGTTCTGTGAGCTGTTTAAAATACACACTCACACGCTCACATATGTTCGCTCTCATACACACAGAAACACGCTCCTAAACCTAAATGACTTGGTCCCAAATGTTTAAGAACCACCCCAAAGTAGACAATGTACAATTCACTTGGCTGTATATCTATATGCCAAAAGTTGTGTTAACAAACAAACTGTGCCTTCCAATTCTAACATCATGCTATTAACTGCAACACTCCAGTCTGGCTTTATCTTCAGTTTGTTGTGCCTCCAGGTTGTTTGAAGTGTGAAGATGATACTAGAAATATGCTTTTTTTGTACTTAGTTGCATTCTAGTTTCCAGTGAACTCATTCCTTTTTATCTACCCTAAAATAGAATATACATCGGTTCCAGGGATGCAGGTATGCATAATCTTTGGGGTATAAATGGGCTTCGGATGGCCTGTGAACTCTCTGGAATTGCTCACACGACTTTTCAAATCTGTACACTTTTCTGGGAAGAGGGTATATAGAATTCACCAGATTCCTTCCAAGACTTGTGGGGCCAAGAGCTCAGAACCCCTGACTACCTGCCATTTGCAGTCTCAGCACCAGCACTTGATTTTCATGGACGCTTAATGTAGGGCACCCATGGCTCAGAAAAGATGCTGTGTTTCCATTGAGAGACATGAATCTGGAAATGGCATGCTCAAAATGGAATTAGGATATCCCTCCATGTGCCTTCAGTGGAAAAGGAGATCTGGAAAGGAAACACAGGGCAGAGTTCAAGACTGGAAGGACAGGGTCCACACTGGAGCCTGTGTAGGAGTCAACTTGATGACAGAGTAAACAAAGGCAGGCACAGAAGAGTAAGGAGGACAAAATATACCTCTAAGGACATGACTATGATAGTGCATGGGCTGGAACACCCAATCAGGCACAAAAGAAAAGCTCTAACTGATAAAACTTAACATAAATCGAGTCTTGTTAAGAAAGTCTTATGGACAGCAAAACAAACACACTTGGGTGGATGCCAGAGGATATATTTTCATCCTCCTATTTCAGTTTTTCCTCTCTGAGATTTGGCTAGTATGAGTTTAAGCCCTCTAAAAGCAATGCTATTTATTCATAGCTCACACATTCTTCTTCTCCCTTGTTCACCCACTTGCTTAGTCTTCCAAAACTGGTCTACTGCCATTTATTGAACATCTACCATGAGCATGCATTGTGGGTGGAGATACAAAGATGAATAAGGCACAGCCAGGGTGTTCAAGTTGTGCGCCTTTGGGAAGGGAGGTTCGTGGTAGATGCTGAAAACACATGGCAACAATTTACAGCCCAGTTCAAGTCTTGCATGGATGGGCTGGCTCTGCTGGAGCACTTCTTTCTCTGTTTTCTAATGAATGCTGAGTTTTCCTATTCCTATTTAGCTTGATTTATAATCATACTCTACAAAAAAACCCCTTTCTTTGCTTTTTCAAAAATTTTGCCGTTGAAAATTGTTTAAATTTCTTTTTTTTTTATTTCAGGAAATTATGGGGGAAATTTTGGTTACATGTTATGATTTTGTCACATTACAACCATGATTTGAGACGTGCCCTTTCCCCCCTACAATGCTCACCGCGTCCATTAGTTGTGAGTTTACCCACCCCCAAACCCCCTACTGCCAAAGAATATTACTACCATGTGAGCACCTTAGCGTTGATCATTCAGTGCCAGTTTGATGGTGAGTACATGGGGTGCCTATTCTTCTACTCTTGTGATACCGCACTTCGGAGGATGGGCTCAAGCTCTATCCAGGAAAATATAAGAGGTGCTTATAATTGAGTAGTATTCCATTGTATACATATACCATATTTTATTAATCCACTCATGGATTGACAGGCACTTGGGTTGTTTCCACACCCTTTCTTTTCCAAAGCACAAATAGCTTTATTTTTCTGATTTTAAAAAAGTAACACATAAATTTAAAAATATTTTAAAAGTGTGAAGGTGTGGAACATCTACACTGAAAATCTTTCTGCAAACGTCATACCTACCCCGACATAAACATTGCTAGAAATTTGGTATTTGTGCTTTCAGGTTTTTTTTCTTTTATGCACTATACATTATTTCCTTAAAAACTGGAACAAATTCAATGTTCTACTTTGGACAACTTTCTATGTCAAAACATAGAGAAGTAACTCATCCTTGGGAAAAACTGCATAGCATTCCATTGTAAGAGTGTGTCATAATTTATATAACTAATCCCTTCTTCATGGTTTAAAGGTATTAAAAAACTGTTTCCACATTTGACAAAACCTTACATCTCTAAATTGCTCAACTAAGTTTTTATTTCGGATCATTTGATTGTTCTAATCTCATTTCTTCTCCACCTCCTCTGCTTCCTACTTACCCTCCAAGCAGAAATCTCGTCTACACGTAATTGTCTAGGTCTGTTTTCTTTCCTTTTTTATCTTTTTACATGATTCAGAGGGACCAGACATTTGCTTAAAGGAAAGGCCAAGTCAATTTATTAAGTGCATTCACCTATTTTTACTCCTTGTAAAAGTTTCCTATTAGGATACAGAGTCCATCTTTGCCAGTAATAACACAATTCATCTTGCTGGTTGGAAAGCATAGTGTTCGAGAGAATGCAACAGGAAAAGGGGCAATTTACTTTTCTTCTTTTTAGCATGATATCTATCTGCCCTTGCTTTTATTAAACCTTGTTTAATTTCCATTGAGCATTGTTTCTTAAGGCTACTGCAAAAGAAAACAAAGGCCCAAACTATGTGAATACTTACTATAAGTTTAACAACTGTCACAATTTATTAGAATTCCTTCCTGCGAAGAGCAGGATTGCATCAGCCAAGAGCTCTCTTAGGAGAGTTCCAGGTCCTTCTTATCTTTCTTTCTTCCTTCCCCCACCTCTCCTCCCACTTTTATGTCCTACACCGGGAATTGATGCCATCCCCAAATTTTTATTGCTGTCAGAGGTCACAGCCCCTATAATTTCCTTTCTCCTACAAATACGGTCTCCAAGCTACTGTCTCTTTGCAGCTGGGAAGCTCTTCCCTTCCCTTGGGCAATGACAAATAAAATGCGTTGGGAGGTCACATTTTCCTTCAGGTCCCTTAGGATGGTTAAGTCAGCAACACATTTAAGTCAAACGTCCTTTAGCCAAACAGAAAAAATGTAAAATTTTTCTTTTAAATATGTAAATCATTTTCTGTGGCATTTGCTCTCATTTCCAAGGAGGCTCCTAATTCTTGCAAATGTCCCTAGTGAGAGCTGTTCTTGGCCTACATTTCTTGCCTTAACCCAGTTCATTTTCCTCCGGCCTCAGTCTTAGAGTTCATTATTCCAATGAACTTACAACTATTAATACCCCCTATACATGTATGTGCAAAGAAAGTAGAAGTACATGGCCTGGTGACACACCAAGTCCATAACAGACATCAGCTCTGAGGAAGGAAGGAGAGAAGGCATTGGGGCTAAGGAGAGAATGCACCTTTCCCCAAACTCTGGGTCACGCTGGTAGCCGGACCCCAAAGAAGCCTTGGTTCCTAAGGGCCTCTACCCCGTCCCCCTGGAATCCCCTGGAAGTTCAGCTTCGGCAGGCAACTCCCTCACCATGGACTTCACGCCTGGCCTCCTGGGACAGGAGGCAGACCTGCCTGGTTCTCCCCTCCCCCACCTCATTCCACCAAATTATTTTTTAACTTTTACTTTAAAATAATTTCAGATATACAGAAAAGTTGCAAAAATACCACAGAGAATTCTCGTATACCATTCATCCAGATTTCCCAAAAGCTAACACGCTACCACATATGCTTTATCATTCTTCTTGCTATAAATATATGTCATTCTTTTTTTTGGAAATATTTGAGAATAACCTGAGACATGACGCCCCTTTACCTTGAAATAATTTTCAGTTTGTATTTCCTAAAAACAAGGATATTTTCCTACCAAACCATGGTGCACTTATAAAAATTACGAAACTAACATCAACACATCACTGTTATCTATGTACGGATATTCAAATTATGTCAATTGTCTGAGTAATGCCTTTTATGGAAAAAGGAAAAACAAATTTCTAGGCCAGGATCCAATGTAGGATCACATGCTGCACTTAGTTGTCATGTCTAATCTTCTTTCATCTGAAACACTTCCTCAATCTTTCTTTCATTAAAAGCACTGACCGGTTCTTTTATAGAATGCCCCTCAGTTTGGGTTTGTTTGATGTTTCCTCATCATTAGACCAAAGTGTTTGCTAATTTCTTTTCCTCTCAGATTTAGAGAAGAATTTTCATTTATTTTCAACACTTTAATTTTTTAATTCAGATGAGCAGAAAGGATGAAATAATGAACATATATGTTTGCCATATTTATTTCATATCTTTCTTTTCTTTTAAGATAAAATCATACATATGCAAAAAAAAAAATGTCCCCTAACTGGTTGCCTCTAATCCATTTTCTACACACAGTGAATTGGACCTTTCCAGAAGCCCCACTTATAATCCCTCAATGCTCCCCTGTTCCCCCAGAACAAGCCCAGACTCCTATCCCTGGCAGACAGACACTTCTCCACTGTCATCGCCCCTCTGCCTGTCCTGCCTCCGTATTTAATTCTAACCCAGAAAATCTCTCTTGGGGAGTAGAGGAAAGACAGGGAAGCGGCAAACCTTAAAGGGGCTTTGTGGAGGCATGGAAAACAAACTAACTAAGTAACTACAAAACAATAACAAAAACAAACACACTATCACAGGCAGAAAGTGCAGGTTTAAAAATCAGCGCATCACCCTTGGGGAGATCCAGGACTAGACTCTCAACCTTTTCAAGCCTGTTTGCTGGTTTGTAAAATAAGGAAAGAACAGGTTCAGCACAGGGCTGCTGTAATGACCAAGTGGCACTGTATGTCTGTATAAACATATATAAATGTCCACATTC